TCATAATATGGGCATCAATGTAGTAATGCTATTGAATGTCAAGGAGCAAAGATTAGATTCTCCTGTAGGAAATGGCCAATGCCTGGCACTTGTGTGACTTCGATGTAATTTTCACTTATCAGCTCTGATCTGGATGCTGTCTGGTCTTGCAGCGTATGGACGCGAACCATTTTAGTATTTGAGGAGTTGTGAATAGTACCGATCATTGTGCAGAAGTTGACAAATATCCCTATTTCTCAGCTTATGCGATGAAGATCATCCAGCTGCTGAAGATGTTTGGGCTTAGGACACGAGCCTGAGAAAATCCTGCTGTGATGTCCTGGGGGCTGTACTTATTGATTTCCAACTTCACAACCATCTTCCCTTGTGTTAGTCATAACTCCAACCAGCAGAGAACTCCGCACCTCCACCACCGCCTCCACCGCCCCCCCCACCCCGCTCCCATTTCCCATTGACTCCATTTTTATTTGAGCTTTTTGATGTTAAACTCAGCTCAATTCTGCCTTGATGTTTAGGGCCATAACTCTCCCCTCACCTTCCAGCAATGGAAACAGTTACTCTTTACCTGTTGGGAAAGGCCAATCATGATTTGGAGCACCTCTATTAAATTTCCTCACACTTCTGCTCTGTGAGAAACAACCCTGACTTCTCCAGTCTGTTCTCATAATTGATGTCCTTCATCCCTACAGTCCTTCTCGTGAATCATTTCTACACCCATTGTAATTACTTCATATTCTTCCAAAAGTGCGCTGGTTAGAATTGGAGGATACAATATTCTAGTTGAAATCAACCCATGTTTTATAAAGATTCATTTCAACTTTGTTTTTGTATTTTATACCTCTGTTTACAAAGCGTAGGATTCCACATGTATTACTAATTGCTTTCTCAAGCTGTACCTGCTGCTCTTGACGATTTATGTAGATATATACCTAGGTCCCTCTGCTCTTTTCAAATCGTATCCTTTATTATTTGTTGTCTAACCTTGTCCTTCCTCTTAAATATATAACTTCTGAGATGCAAAAAATATGCGTGTGTTTCCTTTTATGAATTTTACATGTGTCAAGGCTGTAGCATATGGGAGCTTCTGGATACCATGGTGGTAAGAATGTCTGCAGAAACTGTTTGCAGTTTCAGTAGCTTGAGCTCATAGTTTATGAGCTGGGGGCTAAACCCAAGATACTGCAATGCATCAGGGAGGGGAGAGTTTCCTGCATACTTCTTACCAAGACACAGTCACATCGCTTAAATTTGGTCTTCTGATTTGGTCAGTGGTAAGGGATAGGAGAGTATGGCTGTGAGTGGTGCAGGAATCTAGGAGTGTCCACTTCTGCAATTTTACAAAAGATTTGAGATACTCTCATCCACTGGAGCAGGGGCTGTAGGGTGGATGAGCAGACTGAACATTGCACCACGGTACAGGAAACTATTCAAGTTGGGGGAGCAACAAGGAGAGTAGTGGTAATAGGGAACAATATATTGAGGGATGTTGACACCATTCTCTGCAACAAAGAGCATGAGTCCAAATGGTTCCAGTGTTCGAGATATCTGCTTCAGGCCAAAATAGACCATTCAATCCATCGAACCATTCACTGAGATCAGAGCTATCTGGCAATCCTCAGCTCTACTTTTCAGCCTTTTCCCCATAACCTTTGATTTCATCACTGATTAAAAGTTTGTCAATCTCTGCCTTGAATATACCTGATGGCATAGCCTAAAAAGCTTGTTATTGTCTGTGGGTCTGCATTCATACAGGTTGGCTGTCATTTTTATCTATCTAGGGGCCAAACCCTTTCAAGTAGGTTGTGTTTAAATTGCATGGAAGCATTTCTGAGACATGTGGAAATAGACAAGTGTTTCTTGATTATACCATGTAGAATATTGCACTTGGTGTGAATAAATGTCTGCTGAGATTCAGATGATGGTATTTATGGAGATGTGGGAATTGAGGGTGGGATTTGTGTTTGCAGATAGTCAATGTAAAACTGCCCAAAATATAAAGGCTGCACTTTATTTGTTGTAGAATATCATTCGATTTTTTAAAATAACTAATTTCCGAACTAACAGCTGTTCAGATTGAATGAATGTTGGCTGGGTGCTGTTTGAGAGGGTTTGAGGCACTCTGCCACATTTAATGAAGACATTTGGAATCTTGCCATCATTCAGAAGATCTGTGGCCGTGTGATGGCAGCGGGGAGCGGTGAAAAGAGATAATGAAGTGGGGATGGAGAGGGAGAGAAGAAAATGATCGTAATTTTCTTGTCCCACTGTTAGTGGTGGGAAATTGCTTACCTGCTGGGTCTGGCAACTCCTTCTGCCCTTTAACCTCTTCCACCAAGCCCTGTTGTGAGTTCATTTACATGCAAATAGTTCAAAAGGCTGAGGAACACAATCATTATCACTGAAATATTATCATTGACCTGCCTCTGCATAACAAGTTAAGCTGGTGCCCCCAAGCCTGCTGCTTTTAAACCTGATTTTAATATGTTTGTTGCCAGTCTAATTTTAATCAATGTATCCCTCAATTTCAATCCCCTCTCACTGATGCTGGGATGGTGTGGGGTGCCTTGGTAAGGTCAAAATTATTTCCATTACCTTTCATAGGTGTGTCGATCTACTATTTTGACTGCTGGGTTACATTGTTTCTTGAACTATTATTGTGTTCTTTCAACTTAAAACCATTCCCAACTATTTATTTGACAAACTTTTTATATTTTCATTTCATGGTGAGAAATGATAATTTACAGTTGTTTCTTATAATGGTTTAAATTGGAGCTTGTTATTCATTTAATTTCTTTCAATAGCTTCTATATGCCTATTGGGACCTCCTTTCAATTTTTCAGGCACAGTATTTTAAGAACCATACACAGCCTTGATCAAAACGGAGGGATGGGAAGGCCTTCCTCTTTTTGATTGCAGAGAAATGTTATCACTGATGTTTGGATCAGATATAATATAATGGATGGCTAGTAGATCAAAGTCAGATAATGCTTTGTGTTATTTGTGAATGTTGTGTACTAACTCTCCCTCTGCAGCATAGTGTTTTAGAAGAAGACCCAGAACAGATCCTTGTGGTACACCACTCGTAACTGAGTACCATGTTGAATATTTTCCATCTACTACCACCGTTTGTCTTCTAAGGGTCAGCCAATTCTGAATCCAATCTGCCACATTTCCCCCTATCCCATGCCTTCTTACTTTCTGCATGAGCCTACCAGGGGAACCTTAGCAAACGCCTTACTTAAATCCATGTATACCACTTCCACTGCTCTACCTTCATCCACATGTTTGGTCACCTCTTCAAAGAATTCAATAAGGTTTGTGAGGCATGATCTACCCCCTACAAATCCATGCTGACTATCATGAATCAAACTATGCCTATCCTAATGATCATAAATCCTATCTCTCAGAGCCCTTTCCAATAATTTGCCCACCACTGAAGTAAGACTAACTGGCCTGTAATTTTGTAAATGATTTGGATGTAGGAGTGGAAGGGTGGATTAGTAAGTTCACGGATGATACGAAGGTGGGTCGAGTTGTGGATAGTGTGGAGGGCTGTTCTAGGTTACAAAGGGACATTGATAGGATGCAGAGCTGGGCTGAGAAGTGGCAGATGGAGTTTAACCCTGAAAAGTGTGAGGTGATTCATTTTGGAAGGACAAACTTGAAAGCAGAAAACAGGGTTAACGGAAAGATTCTTGGCAGTGTGGAGGAGCAGAGGGATCTTGGGGTTCATGTCCACAGTTCCCTGAAAGCTGCCACCCAGGTGGATAGAGTTGTTAAGAAGGTGTATGGTGCGTTAGCTTTCATTAATAGAGGGATTGAGTTCAAGGGCCGTGAAGTTATGCTCCAGCTATACAAAAGCCTGGTTTGGCCACATCTGGAGTATTGTGTCCAATTCTGGTTGCCTCATTACAGGAAAGATGTGGAAACGTTGGAAAAGGTGCAGAGGAGATTTACCACGACGTTGCCTGGAATGGAGGGAAGGTCTTACGAGGAAAGGTTGAGAGAGCTAGGGCTTTTCTCTTTAGAATGACGAAGGATGAGAGGTGACTTGATAGAGGCGTACAAAATGATCTGAGGTATAGATAGAGTGGACAGCCAGAGACTTTTTCCTCGGGTGGAGGTAGCTATTACGAGGGGGCATAGTTTTAAAGTGAGTGGAGGTAGATATAGGGGAGACGTCAGAGGTAGGTTCTTTACTGAGAGAGTTGTAGGGGCGTGGAATGCAATGCCAGAGAGGGTAGTGGAGTCGGCCTCGTTAGGGTCATTTAAGCTGCTATTAGATAGACATTTGAATGATAGTATAAGGTAGGGGTGGAGGTTAGATAGACCTTAGATTTAGGGTAAAAGTTCAGCACAACATCGTGGGCCGAAGGGCCTGTACTGTGCTGTACAGTTCTATGTTCTATGTTCTATGTTTTTTTCTTTGGACTTAACGCTTGGTACTTGGCTATTGAAAAGATACGTTTTTCAACTTTGTTGAATTTCTGTGATTAAAGGTTTGCGTTTGCAAACGAAGTACTTCCCAGGCTCTTCACTTCCCCTCTTCCTTCTCATTCAGAACCAGCTGCTGATACTTTATATTGAAATGTGGATGGTTGAATACTAATTCAGTGCTAATTTCAGGCTTTGGGAAAGAGGAATGTTATTTTATATGCTTGGATTAAGGGGCATTGTCTTTATATAAGTTTTATAAACATTTCTTTGCTAGATACGTGTTCAGATGTAAATACATAATGTGTTGGCTTTGTATAGTAGAAATCTTGCAGGGCACTTCTCACAAATGGGCTGACAATTTGGGCAAAGTGATAGAGCTCATATGTTAAGGTACTTGTGATTTTCTGATGTAACTTAAAGTTTGGACTTATACCCCAGAGGTTGAAAGCATAAATGCGTGGAACACTTGGATTACCTAACGTGATACGTTATGATTTGAGATAACAAAAAATGTTTTGCTACCCTATTTTCTGATATAATCATGTCTTTCTCTTATTTTGCAGGTGGAAGAATGGTTGTGCTTAAACTGTCAGATGCAGAGAGCTCTGGGAATGGACATGACCACTGCACCACGCTCGAAAAGTCAGCAACAACTACACTCTCCATCACACCAGGCCCAAACAGAACCACAAACAAAAGCGCAACGACAGCCTCAAACAGATCCAGTCCCCCAACAAGGAAGGACTACACCAATAAAAAGAGAGATCCCTAAAGTGCCATCTACTGCAGAACATAAGCCTGAGACTAGGATGCAACCGAGTGAACGTGAGAAACAGGGGCCAATAACAACTAAATCCGAATTGCAGCCTGTTGCCCAACCGCAAATGGTTGCCCAGTCTGAGGCAATCAGGCCAGTTGGTAAGAGCCAACAAACTAAGCCTGCTCCTGCAGAACAAAGACGAACAACAGATGGTTCACCAGCAAGAACGCAAGCAGGGCCCTCCAATATATCCCAAGATCAGGAGGGCATTACTGGTAAACTTTTTGGGTTTGGAACTTCTCTTTTAAGCCAGGCCACCAGTCTTATATCCACTCAGCCAGAACAGACATCACAAAGTCAGCAATCACCTGCTAAAGGATCTGCAGCTAAACAGGCCCCAGAAATAATTTTCAGTGATCAAAGCACAGAATTGAGCTCAAAGTTGCAAAGTTCGACGGCAGGATTGCAAGTTAAAACTGAGGCTGTCACCGCAGCTAAACAAGAGAAACTAGAGCCAGTCACTAAACAGAAAGAAGTCAACAAGCCCAAAGTATTGTGTCCTCTCTGTAAAACAGAACTGAATGTGGGATCAAGTCAGACTCCCAACTTCAATAATTGCACTGAATGCAAAGTCCAAGTGTGCAACATGTGTGGTTTCAATCCAACGCCGCACCTGGTAGAGGTAGGATTGACTCTGAACTATAAATACCATAATATGCTGTTCGGTGTTGTTATAGATTTCAACTGATGATGAATGGAATGTTTGAAACCAGGAGTATACTGACAGTTTGGGCTTTGAGACCTGATGACTGTTAGCAATTTATGGAATTATTGATGACGTGATGAAGTTAAACTGCTGCTATGTCAAGGGCCCCTGTGATGAACTCTGTTACAATTTAGATGACAGATCCCAACAGCTTATAAATTTGAGCAGAAATATGTGCGTTAGGTTGAGTGAGGTCACATAACTAGTGACCAAAATTTGTAACCTGAATGTTTTTAATGCACATTTTTTAACTTGGCTTCCTCTAAATGATCGTGGCATTCATTATACCCCTTGGACAGATGATCTGTGTGTTGATAGAGCAATTACACAGCTTTGTCCTGATAGACCTTATCAATATTTTAGAAGTAAAAGTACATGTATGATATTAAACCACAGTGTGCAATTGTCAAAATTGTTCCAGACTGCTGGAGAACAAAAAACAAGAGGTATCCTGGCTATTGTATGTGCAATATATATGACAAGTGCATTCCCTGAAAATATCATTTGTGGCTGAAGGTTGGTATTTACTTGAGGATGACTGAGCTTACCCTGCTCAGAATTCTAGTTTAATAGTAATCAGCTGTTCCAGGTGGGAAGAGCGGTAGGTGGGATTCTTTTATTTTCCTTACCTTGTGCTTAAGCAAAGTGATTAATTTCAAATGGTCAGTCTTAAGCCAATTGATTCACTGCTTGGGAAATCAAGAAAGAGCCGGAGGCACTGGGCCCTGACAACGTTCTGACAGTACTACTGAAAACGCGTGCTCCAGAATGTGCTGCACACCTAGCTACACTGTTCCAGTACATCTACAACACCGGCTTGTTCCTTCCGTGTTGCTGGGTCAAAATCTTTGAACTCCCTCCTTAACAGCATTGTGGGTCTACCTTCACCTAACAGACTGCTGCAGTCCGAGAAGTCAACTCACCACCATATTCTCAAGGGCAAATAAGGATGGGCAATAACTGTTGGCCCAGCCAATCATTCCACATCCCATGAATAATTGAAAAATGGTCGTGATGTTATCAATTGCACTCCTTTTTGATGACAGCAATTTTAATAACACTTTACAGCAAGCTCTCTGTGACGTCTGAATTAAACGTGTTATTTATTTATTTTCAATTCTGAGATGGTTTTTGTGACTTTACATGTGCATAGTGTGTTGTGGCATGCACTGAATCTTTGAGAGACATCAGAGTGCACAGCTTAGGGAGAACATTTCCACCCCCCAACACCACATACATGTGCACTGAAGTAAATGGATTTAGGACTATGAATATTAGAGCCAAAGCAGTAGCTATTAATTCACATGGAAGCTAGACAGAGTTCAGTGATGGTTTCTCTACTCATGTGATAAAGGTCAGGTGATTTCCGACAACTGAAGTATGGGAGTTGCAGAAGTTCTTTTAATTTGGTGAGGACAAATCAAAATGTTTCTTAGAGACTGGAAATTAATTTATTTTTCAGGCAAATAAATGATTTTTTCTGGAAATAGGTTTGAAATAGACTTGGACTTGAAGTTGGCTTGGTTTGGAATGCTGCTTGGTATTCCCTGTTCCCACGATAAAAGTAGAATCAGGCTTATTGTTAGTGTGGACTCTGGCTGTGGCAATACAGTAGGTTAGATTGTTAGCAGATTGAGGCAAGATTCAGAAACCTATAAATAAAGCTTTTTAAAGATTGGATAAGGTTTGGTCATTTTATAGGCCCATCAAGTCAATTTCAATTTATCAGTTGGTTCCCTTCTCTCTGCTTAAGGATCCATTTCTCACCAAAGGAGATAGATGGGGTAATCAGAACTTTTGCAAGTGCAATAATGACTCCCCTTGTTGTTAGTTTCCATTAAGATGGAAGGTTGTGTTCACATTGTGTTTGCAAAGTGGCCATGTAATTGTAAGTGTGAAATTCCACCAGTATGATGAGCTGGATTTGTCCACCAGAAGTTTCTTTAACTGTTGCCAACTTGCAGCAAAAGTCCAATTCAATATTAATGGAGAAACTGATTATTTTTTAAAAAACAATTTATGGTGTCTTTCTCAAATTATTTATGTGACAACACTAATGAAATTATTGACTTGAATTATTGATTCTGAGACTAGGGTCTTAAATTTAAATTCAAGAAACTGATGGTATGAGGCATGAGCTGGCAGTGATAAATTGGGGAATGTCACATAAACGGATGACAATGGATAGGCAATGGTTAACATTTTAAAAAGTGCATGGAAGAGCTGCAATAATTGTTCATTCTGGTCTCGCACAAAAATAAAACAGGAAAGGTGACCTGGCCATGGCTAACAAGGGAAATTAGGGATAATATTAAGTCTAAGGAAGGGGAATGCAAATTAGCCAAAAAAAGCATCAAACCCGAGGATTGGGAGGAGTTTAGAATTCAGTTAAGGAGGACAAAGGAATTGATTAAGAGGGGGAAAATAGAGTATCAGAGTAAGCTTGCAGGGAATATACAAGCTGATTGTAAAAGCTTTGATAGTTACGTGAAGAGAAAAAGATTAGTTAAGACAAATGTAAATCTGTTACAGTCAGAAATAGGGGAAGTTATACTGGGGAACAAAGAAAAGGCAGACATTTTGGTTTTGTATTCACACAGGAGGACGCAAATAGCATCTCAAAAATGATGAGGGAACACTGGTGTAGTGAACGGGAAAAATGGAAGAAATCGGTATTTGTAGGGAAATAGTGTTGGAGAAATTGATGAAATAAAAGACTGATAAATCCCCAGATCCTAATATCTCCAATAATTTTCATCCCAGAGTTTGTAAATAGTGGATATGTTAGTAATCAACTGTTAAGATTTTATCAACTCTGGAACACTTTCTATGGATTGAAGGGTAGCTAATATAACCCACAATTTAAAAAAAAAAGAAAATAAGGAATTATTATCCAGTTAGCCTGACACAGGTAGTGGGGAAAACACTATATAAAATTACGATATAAAACATGATGCACTATTATAAAAAATTTCATACAACACTTGGAAAACAGTGAATGGTTTGGACAGAGTGAGCATGACTCTATGAAAGAGCAATCGGTGTTGACATATCTATTGGTATTTTTGAAGGATGTAACCAGCAGAGTTGATAAGATGGAGCTGTTTGGTGTTGTTCATTTGAACTTTTCAGAAGTCTTTCAGTAAGGTCCCATATAAGAGATGAGCAAGTAAAATTAAAGTGGATGAAATTGGGGTTAGTGTACTGACGTGGACAGGAACTGTTTGGTAAACCAGTCACTGAAAGATGGTATGCAGGTACAGGCAGGTGGTGAAGAATGTAAATGATATCTTGGCCTTAGTAATAAGAAGATTCGAGTACAGGACCACGGATTGCTTCTTGCGCTTGTATAGGCACGGATGAGACGACACGTAGAGTATTACGTGCTGTTTTGGTCTCCTTATTTGAGAAGGATGTTCTAGCTATGGAAAGAGTGCAACAAAGGTTTATCAGGCCGATTCCTGGGATGGTGGGTCTGATGTTTGAACAGAAACTGGAACGGTTAGGAAGATATTCAATGATGTTTAAAAGAATGAGGGGGAATCTCCTAGAAACCTGTAAGATTCTGCAGGACTAGACAGAGTGAATGCAGGAAGTATGTTCCTGACGACCAAGAAGTTCAAAGCCAATGATTACAGTTTAAGGATAAGGGTTCGATCATTTAGAACAGAGATGAGGAGAAATTTCTTCACGCAGGGAGTGTTGAGTTTGTGGATGTTTCTATCACAAGAGCCAAAAACGTTTCATGTGTTGGATGTTCAACCTTGATCATATTGAATAGTAGAGAAGGCTAGAAGGGCCAAATGGCCTACTCCTGTTCCTATTTTCTATGTTTCTATGAATTATTGAACCAGAATCAGTTATAAATTGGAGAAGCATATTGGTTCAGAAGGTAATAATTCAATACTTGCAAGGCATGATGGCCACAAAATTCCGTTGTAGAGTTTGCTTTTTATTTGGCACACATGGGTGCTATTCCAACCTGAAAATGGTTTATGCTCTGCAAGTCTGGCATCTGATAACATTTTGTGTATTGCATATGGTGGGAACATAATTTGTAAATATATACTGTAGGTAGATTCTAGACTAAAGGCAAAAGACTGAAAATTACAGGCTGATTAGCCTAACCTTGGTCATGGATAAGATTTTGGAGCCCATTGTGAAGGATGAAATTTCTGAATACTTGGAAGTGCTTGGTAAAATGGCCATGTCAACATGGCTTCATCAAGGGGAAGTCATGCCTGACAAATCTGTTAGAATGATTTGAGGAAATAGCGAACAGGTTAGACCAAGGAGAGCCAATGGATCTATCTACCTACCTGGATTTCAAGAAGGCCTTTGATATGGTGCTGCACAGGAGGCTGCTGACTAAGATAAGGGCCCATGGTGTTAGAGGCAAGGTGGTAGCATGGCTAGAAGATTGGCTGTCTGGCAGAAAACAGAGAGTGGGGTTAAAAGGGTCAGGATGGCAGCCAGTGACAACTGGTGTGCCACAAGGGTCGGTGTTAGGACCACAACTTTTCATTTTATATATTAATGATCTAGATGAAGGAACTGAAGGCATTCTGGCTACATTTACAAACGATACAAAGATAAGTAGTGGGGCAGGTAGTATTGAGGATGAGGGGAGGCTGCAGAAGCATTTGGACAGGTTAGGAGAGTGGGCAAAGAAGTGGCAGATGGAGTATAACGTGGGAAAGTGTGAGATCGTGCATTTTGGTAAAAAGAATAGAAACATGGACTATTTTTCTAAATGGAAAGAAAATTCAGAAGCCTGAAATGCAGAAGAGACTTGGGAGTTCTAGTCCAGGATTCTCTCAATGCAAACTTGCAGGTTGAGTCAGTAGTTAGGAAGGCAAATGGAACTTTGGCATTTATTTTGAAAGTACTTGAATATAAAAGCAGGGATGTACTTC